TGGTGATGCTTTCAAGTGTATGGCTGTGAGTCGGCAGGAAACCAGTCGACAACCCAAGACTGCCTTCACAGTGTCTTTATGAATGAGTATTCCAACTCCATATTAATGGCGGTCTTCTCTGCCACTGCAGTATAGTTTATGTCCTTCTGGTGTTGATGTTTCTCCGAAGTTCTTCGTTCGCAATTCACACATTCCCAGGATGTTCCAACGGTATCTTTTCATCTCGTGCTCGAGTTCCTCAACCTTCCCTGCTTCTCTTACAGCTCTCACATTCCATGTGCCAGTGAGGATGTTTCCTCTGGCACGTATACTTTTTGTTGGTCTTTCAGTAGCATAGTTTCCTCTTTCGTCCAGGTGACCTTCGACGTAAGAGCCGGTCCTTGTTCCGAGCGACGACCGAGCCGGTAAGGGATCTGGATGTTATCTTCATTAGCGTTTCTTAGGCAATGTCGTATGGCGGAGCACATCCCTCTCCATGACAGACCACAGCCGAAATATATATCTGCAGTGGCGTCCAAACGAAACATGAAAATGTAATCACTCAATTATCCTGTTAGAGCCTTGCGCTGCCCATTCTTGAGGCATAGCAATTTAAAGCTAAATACACTTGGCATCATCTGAAACATCAATATCTCATCTATGTTAAGAGACGCTAGAGATATGGTCTATCAAAACTGACCTTAAAAAATCCGGCTTGGCAAAATTGTGTATAATCGAAGAAACGAAAAAATTGCCGTAGTGCATCAGTATTGATAGAATGGACATATATAGCATATCCAACGAAAGAATAATTTTTTCCTTGCATTAAACAAATTTTATTTTGATAGTTTCAAGCAAAACGCACAACAAAGCAATCACAAATACCTTGGAATTAACATTAATATATTGCTATTTTGCTTAGAAGCCACTGGTTTTGTGTAGGCACGAACCTTTTAGGCATCAGCTCTGTTAAATTTTGGGCATTTCATCCCAAATTTCTCAGTTGCAATCAAAGGGTATGGATTGGGAGCAAAGTTCACTTTCTTACGCTGCTGTTTCATGGGACTTCACATACCTGTATGACTCATATCGGTGCTATTGACTCATGACCACTCCAACTTTCATACGATTTGGTTTTCCAAGAATTGTCTAGTGGCACAAGCCCTGTGAGAAAGTGCTTTGCCATGCATGGAAATGTCGTCTTGAATGACACTTTGACGAAAATAAGGTTAAGAAACGACCCTCCAAAACTAGCGCAATGTAGTCCACTAAACCAAGCCATGCGGTGATTCACACGAGGGTGGTTTTGTTCATTTCACCCCATACCACCCCAAACCATGGCGGTGGCGTGGCCTCTTTTCATTTGATATTCAATGCATGACCATTCCACCAACTTTGATGCGCCCCAAATGCACACGCAAATATACTTTTACGCTTCTTTGATTTCGCACAATTTTGCCAAGCCTGTTTTTTAAAGGTCAGTTTCGAGTGTTCAGACCTCCGGCGTTTCTTAACGTAGGTGAATTGTTATTGTGTCAGGTGGTGCAGAATTTATTTAGCTTTAAATTGGTATGCTTCATGAGTGGGTAGTGCAAGGCTTAAATACGATGTTTGGGTGATTACATTTTCAAGTTCCATTTGTCACTATGGCGCCTTAAACTTCCAAACCACTTAATTTTCGAATTTGACAAAATCAGTGGTGGTTCAGAATCATTTATAGGGTGCACAGTTTTATTGAGGAGCCTGAATTTACTATAGTTTAATTTTCAATTTTTCATTAGTTTCGTTTAGATCTGATCTTGGGAAAATCCGTCTTCTAAGACGCCATTGTAAACAAGTGAGGTTTCCGTTCACTCATCGTGCGCACCTTTGAAGTTCTGGAGTGTACAACCACGAAAGCAGAATAGAGAATCAATCTATGCATCTATTTTTTATTTGTCAACTTGGAAACACTCTCAAAATTTATTACTCCATTCTAATAGAGTGTAAATATAGTAGGCATTTGACTTTCAGTTCATGTTAATGCACCGATCATTCCTTTCATTGAAAGGGGGGCCAGCTATATAAAAAACAATATGTATATATTAATAATA